TGCGGGGAAAGTGGGCGCTTGGGGCTGCGGTGTCGCTGTGGCGGGGCTGTCACACTGCTGGGTTATTTTTGGCTGAAGGAGCTGAGCGCTGGGGAATGGAGAAGGGAGAGGGTGCTGGGGGGAGAACCGCACACAAGGCCCCTCCATGTGCTGCTGCCCCGCTCTGCCCTGCTGTCCACCCTCGCAGCGGCGGGCTGGGGGCCAGCATCGCCACGGGGCACCACTGGCAAAGGGTGACCCACAGAGGGAACTCAACGGGGACACTCCTGCTGGGTGCAGTGCTGGCTCAGGTGGCTGGTGGTGCTGGGTGCTGACCGTCCCCATGTCCACCCCACCCCAGGTCATCTATAAGAAGTTCCAGATCCCCTGCCCACTCCCCGAGCAGGAGGGGAACCTCACGGGCAGCCTCAACGTCACTGCTGTCAGCACCAGCGACTACCAGAACGGCTACACCGTCCTCCAGGCCCCTGAGCAGGTCACCTGCACCCCCAGCTTCTTCACCCTGAACTCCCAGGTAGGGGCCAAGGATGCACCCCTGGGGCTCCGGGTGAGCCCCCACCCTGAGCATCCCGTGAAGGCGGGTGGTCCCGGTGCTGGCAGCACCCACCAGCTTGGCCCCCAGCACTCAGCTTCCCTCCTATGGCGCAGACAGCGTACACCATCCCCATCATGGCCTTCGCCTTCGTCTGCCACCCTGAGGTCCTGCCCATCTACACTGAGCTGAAGGAGTGAGTCCTGGGTGGGGGCACCCATGGAGGGTGTGTGGGCTTTGTCTGGCACCCATCCAAAGGCAGTGCCCTCCGCGTGTGGGACCTGTGCTGAGGTGTCTTGGGGATCCAAGGGGATCCGGGGGACCCTGGGTGGGTGGTGGGTGATGAGACCTGGGATGGGTGACATAGGTCCCAGCACGTGGGTGATACAACCTGGAATGGGTGGGTGCGTGATAGGTGCTGTCACCCCTGGGAGGTGGGTGTTATGACCCAGGGTGGGCTGGGCTGGGCCATGGGGACTGTGCTGAGTCTGCTGTGTCCCGCAGCCCCTCCAAGAAGAAGATGCAGTGCATCTCCAACATCTCCATCGCCGTCATGTACCTCATGTACTTCTTGGCCGCCCTCTTTGGCTACCTCACGTTCTACGGTGAGCCCTCGGGGAGGGGGCAGGGGCTGCTGGCGGCATGCTGACACCAGGGCATTGGTGGTGGCGGGGCTGCCCCAGTGGCTCTCCATCGGTGCCCGCAGGCCGTGTGGAGTCGGAGCTGCTGCACACGTACAGCAAGGTGGACCCCTTTGACGTGCTGATACTGTGCGTGCGGGTGGCCGTGCTGACAGCTGTCACCCTCACCGTCCCCATTGTCCTCTTCCCGGTGAGTGGCCCTGCAGGGGTGCTGGGTGACACCAGGCTTTGAGAGGGGAAACTGAGGCAGCAATGGGGCTGAGGCCCAGGGACAAGGTGTCAGGGATTGGCAGGGCTGCAGGGATTTGGGAACGGGACCGGCTGGGCATCAGGGATGGAGCTGGGGCAGGGGAAGGGGTGACAGGTACCGGCAGGATTGCGGGGATGCGGGGTGGGATGGGCCCCGGCTCCAGGGATGGAGCGTGACACCCTGTCCCCGCCAGGTGCGCCGGGCCATCCAGCAGATGCTGTTTCAAGGGAAGGACTTCAGCTGGATCCGCCACGTCACCATCGCCGTGGTCCTGCTGACCTTCATCAACCTTTTGGTCATCTTTGCCCCCTCCATCCTTGGCATCTTCGGCTTGATTGGTGGGTGGCAGCGCCCCGTTCCTGTCCCCCCTCAGGAACT